ATTAAGGCTGTCCAAAAGTAAAAGTCTTTTGTACCTGGGTTAGCTCCACGCGTGCCTGGCCTCCTCCCTCAGAGATAAAGCACTGCGTGGGCAATAAGAGATGGGGAGAAATGGGGAAGGGGTAGGAAGACAGCAAATAGGAGGCAACTCGTAGGAACAACTAGGGTAGTTCCCAAAAGGGATTGGCATGAGCTGATATGTGGGAGAAGAGGTCCAGCAGCACGTGGGGTGTTCTGTGGACACAAAAAGCAAACAAAAAACTCCTGAGTGTTCAGACACATCCAGGTTGATGTGCTCCAGTAAAGGTTGAGTCATCAGCTGCTTTGTTTCTTGCATGTATTGCAAGATGTGGCATTTAAAGTTGTGGGGGTTGTTTAATTTTTATTTTATTTTATTTTATTTTATTTTATTTTATTTTATTTTATTTTATTTTATTTTAATTTATTTTATTTATTTCATTTCATTTCATTTCATTTTTTCATCACCTGTCTTTGGTCTATATTGGTGACGTGAATTCTTGGAGTGAAGAAAGCTGAAGAGAAGTACTTAGGTTGAGATCTCTGGGTTGCCCTGGACTCAGCATCGTGCCCTGTTGGGCTATCTCCCAACTACGGAGTGGAGGACCTCCTTTGACAGCTATCAACATCTCCTGCCCGTGGACTCCTTGCGGAGCTGTATCACCCCTTAGCTCTCAGATATCCAGCCTACATCTCTTGGCCATGTGGAGATCTGGGTATATCAGAAGGCTGGCTGCCTTTGGAAAAATTCTCTCAAATGAATATTGCCCGCAAAATACCACTCACATTACCCCTGCTGCAAACTTGTAGAGCTCTACTGAATGCCTCAGGCCAGCAGAATCTGTGCAGGCTCAAGGCATCTCCAGATCAATGTCCAGAAGCATTTTTCTTTCTTTCTTCCTGTAGAAATGGAATAGAGATAGAGCTAAAATTGAGACAAGTTCTGAATTACCCGTGCAGTGAAGATATAATGTGTGAGGAACAAAGAAAGTGTATTATTCTAGAAACAAAATTCACCGGAACATAAAGAATTTACATAGGAAATTTCCAGCACTCAAATGGGATGTCAGTGTTATTAAGGGAAACTAAGCTTCTTAAACACTGGTTTGAGAAAAATAAATACTTAAATAAATCAAAAGTTTACATCTAGAACATACTGCTCTTGTTTCATTATTTGCTCAGAGACAATCACAAAAGGCCCCCCACGTGATTAATTGTTTCAGTGTAAAGGGAAACAATATGCAAAGTGCTTTTCTATCTTATTTACGGTCCTTGTAACCATCTGAATGAGTACTTGCCAGGAGCTCCTCTAGGAATTTCCTTACTGAAAAAGAATAACATCTGATTTTGATGTATAACATTGTTAGAATATTTTAATATAGGTTCAAAGGGTTTTCTAAAGCATATGCAGGCTGACCCGTTCATCCTCAGGCACTCAAGATGTGCCCAAACTGTTTCAGGGTACGTCACTGGTGGTGGTGTGAAGCTGTGCTTTGCAGTTCTTTAACTTCTTGTTCTTTGGGCTGTTGAGCCCTGGGTAGAGCTCTAACTTTCCACTTACATATATCAGCATACGGAGCCTTTGAGTAGAAAAGAGCACATAAACATGATTACTAATATGTATATCAGGAGGCAGCCGAACACTCCTACATGGCCATAACCATCCTGATTGAATCTCTGCGTCCCATAGCTCTAAAAGATGAGAGGCAGCAGCTGGATGATGGGACAAATAGGAAGGGGGAGATGACAGAGGATGGCTGGCCAGTAAATAGGATGGGACGTGCAAGTCCCAGCTGGCAGGGGACAGTAACCACAGCTTGCTCTCTGCTCACAGATTACACTACACTGCTTAACTCACAGCACACATTGCCAGAGTTTCTTTCGTCATTAAAATCTTTAGATGATACAAAGCAAAGGGCAAGAAAAATAAAAAATAAAAAGAAGAAAAAAGAAAAAAGCCTTCCCCATCACTCCTTCTCTTTACACCCATATGTTCCAGGTCCATAAGGAGATCAGGGAAGGAAAAGGCTTGTCGCACTTGGCATAGCTGCACGAGGAAGCCCAGGATAAAGTAGCAGAGGTGGCATTCCAGACATTAACACGCGAGGAGGATCGGGTTTGTGATGAGAAGCAGCAGGTGCAAAAAGGGGATCAAGTCCCCTGCTGTATATGGCCACACACTAATTCTGGTGGGTCTCCTCTTGCATCAGACTCTGGAGGGGAAACTGGGGGAAGCTGAACCTGTCTTCCACACCAACGACCCCATTGGTGGAAAAAGGGGTGCCAAGAAGGGGAGAGGGGGGATTGCGCCTGCTTTAAAAGCTAGGAAAGAATTTAGTTCGGCATCAGTGCTCTGGCACCTCCCCAGACATGTCATGCCAGATGCTACCATGAGGGTTGTGCTTCAGTGTTCCTGTGTTTGCACCAGCTACAGTCATTAACACCATTCTGGTCATCTTGGGTTTGCAGCTTTTGCTCGATTTCCCACATTTTCCTTCCTCACTACCCAGGCCACCATTTGTACCAATGGCTGTGTGCTGGTGTGTACGTGCACACGTGTGCTCGTGTTAGGATGGCACGGTGCTTCTAAGAACGATGTCCTGCAGCATCCATTTTGAGATCTCTCTTTCAGCCTTATTTAAGTTCTTTTTTTTTTTTTTTTTTTTTTAAATACTGCTTTTTGTTCCAAAGGAAATTGCGCTGCATGTATAAGTACATGTTTTCTAGGCAAATAGATTCCTTTACATTAGAGCTTGCGGGATGAAAAGCAAACAAAATTCAAACGCAAAAATGAGATGAGTGTGCCCAAATCTGCATCGTTCTTTTGGGGTTTAAGAATTATATGGATTTTTCCCTTGCTCCTTTCTGAGCATGGGCTCCACAAGCCTCACCTGCTTATGACCTTGCATGTCCTGCACTGTAACATTTTTTGGGAAGGTTTAATCCATCTCTGGCCTGACCTGAACAGACAGATGCACTGCATGATAAAGGAGATGAGAGGGGCACCTCTTTATTCATCTGATGCTTAAGGATGCTCTAAGCCATTGTGTGGAAAAGGAAGCTTTGTTTCTCATCTGCCTTGAAGGTGAGCATCTTTGTGGGTTCTCTGATGCCTTGTAAAGCTTTGAGTTCACACAGCAGTGGGTGTTTTTATTAGACCTCTATTTTTTGTTCCGTTTGGCCAATAATTTTCATGAAACTAATAGAAAGATGCTACTTTGGAGACTCTGGTTATATTTTCTTAAAACTGGCCTGTAAGTTAAAAAGTTATGAAGAAGGACCAGACAAATGCATTGGCAGGCTAAAAGATGCTGTGACCTCACTTGCCTGGTTTCCTAAGTATCCCCCTGGAAATGGTGAAAAGGAAAGGTAGCTCTTTTATTTTATTTTATTTTTTTTCCACATGTCCAGCTACTTTAAACCCATCGATACAGGCAGCTAAGCTGGCTTGCAGAGCCAGCCTGCACAAAAGCTGCTGCCTACTCCTGATACTCACCACGACTCCTGTGGCTGTCTGATAGCTCAGCAGCCACGGGACGTGTTCCTTCGGCTGTTGTGACACCAGGGAACCAGTCCTCTGGCACTCTCTCGTGTCTGGAGATTTCCTCATCGGGCATATTTTGGAGCTCTGCGGGTTTATTTGCGGGAAAAGTCCTTGCAGAAGTCGTTCAACAAGTGGCAGAGGTGAAGCTGGCTGACAGGTGCCCCCGCGGGGGATTTTGGCTGCCTTGGATGCAGCTCCAAGAGAAACCATCTCTAACGCCTGGGTGCAGCTCTGAGAAGTGCTTGGCGGCACTGAAACCTTTCATCCTCTCACCAAGCAGGCTCTTCGCATGGGTCCAGCCTAAAGAAAGCAGCTTTCCACTGATCTCAGTAGGAACCAGAATAGCCCCTGTCACATAAAACACACAGGAGGCCCAACGATGGCAAAAAAAAATAAAATAAAATAAAATGGAAATATTTCCCATGGCTTTTGCTGAGGTTTGAGTTGTGTTTTGGGCAAAGCTTGTTTCTGATTTTCGGATTGTTTTTGTCCCAGCCTGACGACCACATTGCATAGCAAAGCCAAATTCTTAGCCCTCTGGCCTGACTCTTCTCCTCTTCACCTCTTGTTTCTTCATATGCAGATTGCCTCAGTTCCCAGCCAAAGCATACCCTGGTCCAAGCTTGCTCAGGAGGTGCTTTCTGCCAGAAACTTCCCCTGGGAGATTTGAGAAACAAACAAACCGAGCAGCCCTCACAACTTCCCGATAGCAAACAAACAAACAAACAAACAAACACACACACACACCCCGTGTTCCTGAAATGCCATTTGACCCCCCGCTCTCTAGAGCCTGGGGGCAGGAGGCTCAGTTTGTGATAAACACAAAACACTTGTGTCAGGGTGAATATTTGGAGCAAACTGCAGATCGCTGCCGTCTTCCCTGGGGAGGGCTAAGAGGAAAACTCCAGCAAAACCTGTTTCATGGGTCCAGCCTGTCTAAACCAGAATGGGAACAGGCTGTTGTTCCTACAGCTGCCATTTCCTAACGGAGCCAGTGCTGGTTTCCTTCGCCTCGCCTCCCTTCTCTGAAGCTAGGCCACAGCTTCAGGGAGACCTGGAGGAAGGACCCTGTTGCCTTTGGAGGTTAGGAGGACACTGTGGATAGGAATTCTTTCTGGAGCAATTTAGCACACCCCCTTTGCTCTCATGGCCACAAAGAGGACGAAGCTCCATCCCAGGTGGCAGCTGAAGTGCTGGTGTCAATATAGAGGCATTATGCATTGCTTTCAGCATTCCCCTTGCCAAAAATAAAGCACCTGTAGAAAAAAAACCAGTTTCTTCTACCATATATATGTGGGCCAGGACATTCTGGATGCTTTTGAACCATGAGTCTGAGTGTTTTGGGGCTATTTTGACCCATGTGTAGGAAACAGGGGCCTCTTGCAGATGTAGCCACAGTGCTTGGAGATCTCTCCTCTCTTGGCTGGGATGAAGGAAATGATTTTCTGAGTTGTTCCAGTGTGGGGTCAATGCTTTACTGAAATTTCTCCTCTTCTCCCCGTGCTGCTGTCTCTAGCCTCCCTTGGTACCGAAGCTCTCCTGAGTGTACCCATAGCTGTTAGCAGCCCTGAGGGGCCTCACCTGGGACCACCACCACACCCTCCAGCCATGCTCCAGGAGCCCATTTAAGCTCTGCCTGGGTTCCACAGTCCTCTTTTGAGCTCTGTGGTTGCTGTGCCTGCCTGCAGCCCTGGCTCTGCTCCTGCCCCCCGGACAGACGGTGGGTCTATACTCCAGGTCTCCTCTGTGTGTGTCCTTGATGTGTGCTATCGCTTGCTTCCGGGCACGTTTTTGGCTCCATCTCCTTTTGTTCCTGATTGTGCTTTTTGCATGGACCCTGGATCTGGATTGCTTCCCTCTTCTGTGGTTGCTGATGGGCTCCATAACTAGTGTATTGTCCTGCTCCCAGGCATAGCTCTGAAATCTGAATCCTCTGATGACAGCCCTTGCCAGTGTGCACCTTCCCTAGGTGAAAATGCATTCAGTTGTTCCTGCAAAGTCCTTTCACCCTGAACTTTGCTTTTCCCCAACACCAAGCCTAGCCCTGTTTATTATTTATTCATTTTGTAAGGCATTAGTTCACTTTATTTTCTATGTAGAAAGCCTTTTCTGGGCATATTTGGAGGATTTCCTGCATTGGTCTGGGATTTCCTGTAATACAGTCAATGAAAATACTGGTGCCTCTGCATGTAGATTTTGTTGGAAACATGGTTATGGCCTTCCACCAGGGCTGTCCTGGGATGAGGAATCCATGAGAGAGCCTGTGCTTGGTGATTTAGAGGCCACAAGTGTGTCTACCCCCTCCAGGAAATGCTGAATTTTCCAGACCAGGATTTGTTGGGTTCTTGCCTTTATGTTTCACTTGTGATGCTGATTCCTTCTGTGCTCTTGTGCTGTGGGTGGTCTGGGTGTTGGGATCCCACTGTTGTGGGGAGAAAGTGGTAGGAGAAAGGACCAAGAGCCATTCCCTGGTTCATCTTGTGCCGCAAGCAGGGTTGGATAGAAGACACAGGGATAAATAAATGAATAAGGAGGTGTGTGGACAGAAGAGTAATATGGGAAGAGCTGATCGCTATCCCCAGCAGAGACCCCCTGTGTCTGCCCCACACCGTGCCCCTTCCAGACTCTGAATCTCAGCTGAAGCTGCCCTTTTTGGGGCAGGCAGGAGATAAGCAGATGTGGAGCACACAGTGAATTTTATAATAACACGGTGGTTATAGACAATTGCCTAATGGGGACCAGATGGTCAGTTTTATTTTAAGTTGCCCTTTAACAACATTCCCATCTAAGCTGTGTTTTTTAAGTAATAGGTTTTTAATGAGATGCCCATAAGATCTTACAACACATCGGGTTTTAATCACGCTGGCCTATTTAAATGGCAGTGTATGTCTTTAGCACTCCTTCTGCATTTTTATGGTGTTTAATTCCTTCCCACCACCATCCCTTACTCCAAACCTCAAATGGGTTGTGTCAAAGGGACCGTTCCTCCCAGCGCTGGATGCTGCCCCTGCTGAACTCCTCCCCACCTCTCCACGCTGGGACTGAGGACAGACCTCCTTCCAGGAGAGGAGGCATGCCTTGAGGTCAGGGTACAAATCTGCTTCGCAAAATAAAAGCTCCGATCATAAATGCCGCTTTTGGATGGGGAAGGCAGGGAGCGGTGCGATTCATCTGGAGCTGATACTGTTATCAGGGCAAAGTAAGTGTTAGCTTTGGAGGGATGCCTCCAAATTCCCCGGGCATCTGTCTGCAGCACGGCCACACTGGGTGCCCCAGACACACGTCAGACACTTTGGTGATAAGCTGTGAGGAGTCACCGAGAACATATACAGCCGTATCACCAGGTCCTCACATCAGGAGGGGAGGTGGCACCGCATCATCCCCGCTTCTTAGGTGGGCGCACAACAGCAAGATCCCTACCCCGTGTGTGAGGACGAAGCAGAAACTTGGGTTTCTTGCTGCTCTGCCCTCTACCACAGTGGCACAGTTGGGCTCTGCATAGCACATGCAGCTCACATCATCTCTGGAAGCTGTATTGCAGTAACCCCAGGTCCACTTGCCCAGTGGACAGACTTTCCTGGCTAGAACGCCGCTGGCTCACTGGGGCAGGGAGGGGACAGATGGAGACGATCAGAAAACATGGCTTATTGACAGTGCTGGTTGAGCAGAGCTGGATGAGATCACGGCTCCCCCACTGCCCAGCTGAGTGTGAGCCCCAGGGGTTCCTGCTCTTTACCTTTATGACCTGTGTCAACCCACCAAGCCTTCTGTGGCGTTACTGATTGGCACCAACATGACTTGTGCTTCTCTTTGCTGGTGCTCAGCCTGATAAGGAAAAATCACCTGGACCAAAATCAGCAAGCCTGCAGCCAGGTTGAGCAGAAAGCCTGCTGTCAGGATTCAATACAGCTTTTTATTTATTTATTTTTTAAACCAAGCAGTTCTCACGTGGGGTCCTTTCCTTCCTGTCCTGCTCTTACAGACCTAAGCAAACCTTGGACAAAGCCATGCATGACTTTCACCTCTCGCCCATCTGGGGATTTTATTTTTCCTGTTGATGTCAGAGGCTCTGTGAAAATGCAGATGAAATCAGGCTTTGCTTTCCTTCCTGGAGTCTTGGTTGCCCTTTGGCAGAGCTCACGCAGAGATTGTGACCGTGTTGGTGAAATGACATCAGCATGTTTCAAAATTGTTATTTGTTTTTTTTGGGGGGTATTTTTGCATGTTTACCCAGTTACCTTCCAGCAATCTCAAACTAATGCTTTCCACACATGGGCGGGTGGGGGATGCAGAGTGTGGATGAAGGACACAGGTTTGGGGAGGCTTTCTCAGCCTTTCCTGCATTTGAAGTATTTCATTCAAAGTCGGCTCCAAGGAAACACATCTTCCCTTCACACCAGGCATCGCACTGTTTGCTCAGCAGCTCTTTGGCCTTTAAGAGCTCTTGTGGGTAGACAGCTGGAGACACCAAGAGACATCTTGTGCTGGACACAAACAAAAGGAGCAGAGGAGAGACTGTAAGGAACGATTCCTTACTGAGAAGTTTAAGTCCAGATGTGACCTTGGTCACACTAGCAGGCTGTGGCACAGGTGGACACCGCAATCAGCTCTCACAGTAGAGCCGAAGTTATTAGGTTTTCTCTTGGAGGAACCCTGAAAAACTCAGGCTTTTCAGATTGAGTTCTGAGCAATGGTTGTGGTGGTGCACACACAGCAATGGGAGAGCCAGCAAGGTTGGAGGTTGTGGGCAGGAGGAGCTGGGGTATGAATAGAGCCAACAAAGGTCTGCTGAATACCAGCCTTGACAGCCCTGGCCTGGGCTGGGTAGCAGTACATAAAAAAGGTTTCAGCCATGAAAAAGGGTGTAGACAAAAGATTTCTGCATTTTTATCTAATTTGAAGGAGGCGATGGACACACTAAAAGCGTAGATCTCTTGAGAGCCCTTCTGGCATCTGTCCTTAGGCCAGGCTTATGGGCAAGATATTTTGCCTGGTCCGTCACATCAGGGAGGAGGGAAGTCTGGAGTCACTGCTGCTCCCTTTTCCCCTGGCAAATAGAATAAGCATACCAGGTCTTCCTACACAACCTCCGGAGGAACAGACAATGCTTCTGGCAAATTGGTTCTTGATGGCTAATGGCTTTTTTCTTTCCAAGGCTCCAAGCCAAAGCCTGCGTGTCCTTAGCCTCAAATCCAGTGAGATTTGATCAAGAAAATAAGAGCTCTCCTTGGAGGCACAGCAGCCCTGCAGGGAGAACAATGGCAGTCGGAGGGAGCGCTGTGTGTGTGTTTGGCACGGAGCTAAGCCCCTGTTCTCCTCTCCCCTCCTTTGCCCCAAGTATAGGGCATGCATCCTGCAGACTCATGGAATCGGTAATTTGTGGTGAGCTCCGCTGCCTGGTGGCAGATGGAGGAGCCTCAGCACAGCTGGGAATGAGATGCACAAGGAAGTGGCAGCTAGGGAAATGGAGTTTGGCTGGCAAAGAGGCAGAAGTGGGAAAATATCAGAAGTGGGAGAATATCTGGAGGTGCTGCTTGCCAGGAAGGTGGCTTCTCTGAGCCACTGGAAGATGCTGCTTCATGCCCACAGCACCCACACCTGTGGTGGTGCCAAAAAAAGGGCCTGGACTGATTGACCTTGCACTCCTGTGGTGGTGTGAGACAGCTGAGGGGCTCATTTATTTAGCTTCTCGATGCTGCAAGACAAGGGTGGCAGCTTGGGAAACTCAGTCTCAGCTGATGGCTCTGTTTGGGCACATCAGTGAAGTCCCCAAGGCAAACGAAAGTGCTTGAAATGGTCTTGCAAAATGAGGGAGGCTTTAACAATCTGGTGATGTCAAGCCCAGCATTGCTGGGGCCTGAGCCTTGCAGCTGCAGGAGCAATAGGATTCTGCTGGAGAAATGAACCGTGGAGGGGCTGGCAGGGAACCACCGCGAGCAGTGCAGGACCTCTGGCCGAGTGGCTGGGAGTCCAGCTGTGCCATAGATCCACGCAGCAGCTTGTTTTCCCCTTTGGTGGTGACTGAAACATTGCACCACTCTGTCTTCCCCGTGGGAAGAGAAGGGAACCTGCTTCCCATCAGAGAGCGAGACCACCAGACAGCCCCGAGGTGCAGGCGCATGAAAGGAGTCTGTGAGGGACAGCCCTGTGAGCTGCTTTCTAGGGGCCGGGCCAGAAATTTCAGTGGATAGTCTTTATGTCTCTTTTGTAGGGACTTGCACTAGAAACGAGCCCCAGAGTCTTGATCAAGGCTGTGACCACTGGGGCCCTAAAGCCAGGACAGAACAGCAGCAGTGCACCTCTGTATGGTTCAGTTCAGCTCTGTCCTCAGTGGGATCCCTAACACAGCCTGTCTTCTGTCTGGGTTCTTATTTTCACAAATTCAGCAGTACCGCATTATCTTTGAGATCTCTTCCCTTGGAGCAGCCTTGGTGGAAAGGGTCTGTGGGTTTCAGAGCAGCTAATGATGGGGGGAAGCTGAAGAGTGACACGCAGATGATGAGATCAAACAAGCCCATTCATTTAGGGAACCGTGTTTAAAAAAAAAAAAAAGCACACTGTAAAGTAGGAGGGAGTGGAAGGTGGTGTTCACAGGAAGCCTGGCAGCCATCTGAGTCTTTGATTGCTTGGTTTTGGAAATATAAAGGAAAGTTGTCAACAAACAGGAGAATATGAGCCCTTGCCACCCACCCCTCTGCTTAATCCTGAGGATGGGGATGTGGAAACTTTCCCTTTCTGTTACTGTTTCAATGGAAACACTTTGCCCCCTTGACCCTTGTCAGAAAGGATGCACCGTGCATGTAATTAAACCTCTGCACAAAACCTTTTTCCTTCCCTAGACAAAGCTTTTCCGCTGCTATTTGGCTTAACTGGAATGATGCTTTTTGCCCTGCCTCTGCAAAACCCTTGGACTGACCACTTTTTTTTTTTTATTTTCTTGCTGTCCAGGCATGCTCTGGTGCTGCTGCTACTAAACATGCTCTGCCTCACCCTGCATCCACCCAAGAGGTCGTTCTGCCCTGTATCAGAAAGGGCCAGGACACTGGGTATCACTGCCTCCCGGCTGCGGTATATCAGAAGGGGAAGGTCCCTGCTGAAACTTGTCCCATGGCTGAGGTTCTTCAAAGGATGTCTCGTGTAGATCTGATGTCTGATTAGGGTTGAACCCCCCTCAGCAATGTGTCCCTTTTAAGAGTAAGATTCAGTTCAGGATGAATACACCTAAACGCAGATGTCAAAATGTGATTCTGATCTCCCACAATGGAAGCTGGTTAAAGGTTTTTTACATTTTTTTAATCAGCTGGGTTAAAAATTACCTTTGATAGAGCGAGCATGCATGATAAGTCACATTTCTTTGAAAGTCCCGGGGACGGGAGGTAGCAGACAGAGGGAATGGCTCAGTCCTGGCTGCTGCCTGTGGCTGCATGGCACACGGTGAGCATCAGCTCGGAGATGCCAGGACACCCCTCCTGGGGGCTTGCAGGTGATGTGCTTTGCCCAAGCTGAGCAAAGCCAGATCTTTTTGTTTATCCTTTGTCTCCAGGGACACGTGGGATGCTCTGGTTCTCACCTTAATGCCACAAGTGGTTTGGCTGGTGCAGCTGGTCATGCTCATGCTCATCCCGTCACCTGAGCAGGCCTGCAAGTGCACCGCAAGCCTGTGTTTGTAACCCCTCTGTCAAGTCTTTTAGCAGCCGTGGGTTGGCTGCTGTGTGTTCTGTGACCGCTCGGGATGCGGTGTGCCTGGGAGATGCAGCTAACAGACACTGAGTGCGTAAGGAGGGCTGGAGTTTGTACTGACAAGCTTGGCAGGTTCTCAGGACAGGTTTTGACTATTCATGTATAAACAGGAAGAGGTAAAATCTTTTGGCTCCAGAACTGGGCTGGGGAGGTTCTCTGGAGAGCTGGGTTCTGTTCCTGGCCTGGCTGTTCCTCCGGTCTCATCAGATATTTAAGCTCTGCCTTGCCTCAGTTTCCCCTGGCCTGCTCTCACAGTCAAATCACAACCATCCTGACAGCCTCCCTCACTGGGGGTGATGATCAAGATAACCGGCAGTGTGCTGGCAATCATCCCTGTGGCATTCAAACCAGTTGGCCTCCGTGTCCTTAGCTCAGCATACACATTAGATGGAAATGGGCAACATATTTTTCCCGGAGGGACTTCTGGACCCCTTCCAGGCATAGCTGAAAGCCATTCCCCAAGCCTTGCAGAACATTGCACGTGCCAAGGGCTAGCTGGCTGCCTCTTGCTGCTCAGAAGCTCCCACCCTGTTCCTGGGCCTTGTCTGATCACACGTTCTGCCTCTGTGCTGGGATCCTATCCAGGGCTCAACAACTGCAAGATCACAATGACATTGATAGGAAGCCTTGCCACGGTCTGGAGAGCGCCAGCCTTGTTTTTTAACAGTGCTCAGTCCTTTAAGGGGAGGATGGCAGAGCTGGGTCACAATCTGTCCTCTCAGAGGCTCCCATGCTTGGAGCAAACGTGGACAAGAGATCGTTCACTCCATTGAACCCAACGCCTCTGCTGCACCCTCAGCAGCGTGGCAGGATACATATGGAGTCAGAAACACTCGAAGGAAAGAGTGAAGTCATGAGGTCTCAGGCATCAGCAGAGGGATGATCCTGGGAGCCAGGAAGGAATTAGCCCCTTCCTCTGCTCCTTTCAGCCACATAAAACTGGCCAGGTGCTTCGTGGCAGTTTATTGCTTTCCTCTGAGGCATTAAGTTTTGGCTGCCATCAGAGAAAGGATATCAGCATGCTGGTTTGGGATGGAAATCTCCGTTCCGGTGAGTGGAAGCACCAATATTTCATTGAATAAGAAGAAAGTAGCAGGGGCCAGAAAAGCTTTTGTCTCAATGACTTCACTTCTACCAGGAAAGGTCAGTCTGAGGGGAACATCCCTTCCCACCCCATCGCTTCCTACCTGCCTTGCTGGGCGAATGTAGAGCATAGGGACAAATAATGCTGACCCCCAGTCCTTGTCTGAGCTGTTAGCCACTTAGCTATGAAACCGAGCCCCTTAGCTCCTGGCAGGGGCTGTACAGACAGTTAAGCTAAATTGACAAAGATCCCAATGTTTTGAAATACTTCCTTTGTCAGGAAAAGCCTGTGCTTATGTTGTGGGTTCAGGCCTATGAGAAGTTCAGGGCATTTCACTCTTCCCACTTTCTCTTGCTGTTTGACCTTCTCAGATTTTGCTTGTTGTCTTCTGTAAATCAGTTTCAGCACCGGTGTGACTGTGTAGGAGCTGGTGGAGTTACTCCCAGGCTGGATGTTTACTTTTTAGCCTCCTGTGGAGGAAGCAGTTCATATCCCCCTAAATCAAGGCTGTATACAGTTCTCATGTATTTCACTTCAGCCCTTCAAAAATAAGAACAAACACTTTGGGAAAATGTGAGATGAGTCATCTGAGTACCTAGCTGATTCCTTTTCACTGCAAAATTCATGGGTTTTGGCTTTTCCTCCCAATTGTGTGTTCACCCTGTGAAGCAGCAGATCAAATTGGTTTGCTCACTGGATAGTCACATTGCCTCACTTAGGAAAGAAAAGAGCAAACACCAGAAATCAAGCTCTGTAGGTAGCTCATGTTCAACCCTGAACCTCTGTAACCAGCTGACCCATCCAAGTGAGACAGCCCCAGAGAAAATCTCAGGTCCTACTGCTACAAAGCAGAGGGCAGAGCAGCTTCCTCTCACTTCTAGATTTAAAGAACAAAGCTCAAGACAGTTTGTGTGGAGATGGAAGTGGAAATCCATAGAAAGGATCTGTGCTGTCATCTCCCAGGTGCCACTCACCCCTTGGGGCCAGTGGGAGAGAATGTGTGTCCTGTACCCCTCTGCCATGGCTCATCTTTTCTGGAGGGAATCCTAACCTGCCTGTGCCAGTGGTTTCTGCTCCTGTGGCAGGGTTTGCTCCCTTTTAAGATGCTTTATGCTGGGGCAGGGATGAAAGCGTCACTAGCACTCTAGATGTAATCTGTCAGACTTCTCAGATGAGTTTCCCCGTTTATTTCACTCTAGAGATCACCTATCCTTTGACATAAGGCACTGATTTTAGGACTGTAGGAGTAGCAAGTCTGCGACCTAGGATCCAACTGGTTGAGGTCCTGTGTCTGTCAGCTGCATGCACTGGAGGCTTTGGCATTGCCAGCCTGAGAGTGACCTGTTCCCTGGGTCTGGTCCCACTTAGCCTGGAACAGACACTGATTCCACCCCCTTAGGGCATGGGGCAAGATCTCATCCAAAATGCTGGATGCTGATAGACTGGGCATGGAATATAGCAGGCACCCCAGGTTTACTTTCTTCATTGTTTTCTGGGTTAGTTTCCTGCGCTATTCCTGCTGTCCAGGCCAGTAGTCAGTAAAACTAGATGCAGTCCTACTGCAGCTCTTGTTGCCCTGCAGGGAGGGAAGGGTGGAAGGCAGGACTGGTTCCCAGGGAGGAAGGCCAGCACAGCGTTGACTTTGCCTCTATTTGAGTTCACAGGCTGGTAGACTGCAAAATGCATATAAACTGCATCAGAGCTTAGCATCATGTCATGCAACCTTAGAATAAAGGAAAGTAAAAAAGAAAAGTGAGGTATGTGATGGTGGACAGTAAAAGTTCTGAAAGGAAGACGGGAGAGTAGGCATAAAAGAGCAAAAGCTGGGTTTAGAGGAAGAAGAGTTGGCTTGCCAGGTAATTTTTTTCTTCCCAAGTGCTCCCCAGCCTTAATTTATACAATATAAATAATTAAAAGCTGTGCAGGCCCAGTGCTAATCCTTGTGGTATTCCACAAGCAACTTCCTTCCCGCTTAGAAAGGATTCCATTGAGAATTATCCGATGGTTCTTGCTCTGCAGCCAATTTTCCACTCCCTTCCACAAGTCAGCGAGTAGAGCCTGAGCTCTCCTTTTCCTTGGTTCAGCCTCTCCCAAACTGGCAGAATGGCAGAGAAATCCCAGTATGTGAGGCCTCCAGCGAGCCTATTTCCTCCAGTCCTGGAGCTATCTGTGCTAAAATCTCACAGCAGACCTGGAGGGGAGAGGAGGAGGTCTTGCAAAAAGCTGTGACTTCTGAAGCCAGCTTCAACCACACCACATCCATTTGGGCACGTAAATCAGCCCTGCAGCGGTTGTGCCATACCACTGCAGCTGAAGTTTGACAGTCGAAATTGATATGGTAGTGTGGTATTGTCCCAGAAGTTCAGGGCACTAATGGAGACCAGTTTAGCTTGCGTGCTGTGGGAGCGTCAGTAATGCGATGGAGACCCTGGAATAAAGAAGGGGTTGTTCTCTCTTCCTTTCCCTGCACTAAATTGTGACAGCAAGGCACATCCAGTCAAGAGTATTGGTTTAGAAGGGATTATGGAGACTGTGGTGAGTCTCAGTGACATGTATCCTGTATATAAAATGGAAGACTTCCATTGTGATTTAGGCAAGGCTGAATACTTCTGGTCTGAAAAGAGGAGGAATGTAACCCTAGAGAAAGCCTTTGTAGCTGCAATCCCTGTTCCTTAGGGATGGGGACACAGTTCAGTTCTAGTCAATCTCTTTGAGACAGAGCCAAGCCTTGAAGACTATCAGCAATGTGTTGCTGGAAAGACACAGACTCAGTGTTTGTGCCAACATTTTGCAATGGGTCGGAGGAAAAAAAGCATATTTGGGGAGAACGGTTGCAAAAGCTGAAGGAGGCTTTTTCAAGTAAGAAATTACCTGACTGTGGGCAGGGGTAAGATTATCACATATTCAGGCATTCAGGATCCTTGCAGAACCGCTCTGCTTAGGCTTCCTCAAAGAAAGGGAGTAAATTCCCAGTTGCCGAGTTAGAGATTAGAGGTGAAGAATTTGATATGAACTGGCTCAATCACAGACATGTTTTCAACAGCAAGTTTGAAAACAAAGTATTTCAACAGCCAGTTCTCCAGGACTGCACCAAACAGCCTTGTGCTGCTAGTATTACCCTCTGCTCTTATGATTTAATTCTGTCCAACGCAGAGTAGTTCAGGAGCTATTTCCATCTGGGTCAGACTGTTGTGGTATAAACAAGAAACAAACTAGAAATAAATTACATATGGACCCTGGATGACAGAGCAGCAGTCTCCGTGCATCAGGGCTTCTCTGAGCTCAGATAGATGGCCAGGTCACCATGTAATCCTTGAAGGATGTGGCAGGTAGCTGGGAGAAATGAATATATTCAAATAGTCTGCCTGGTGGGAAGGACACAGGCTGGGTTTAAAGAGGAGCCCCAGGTGCATGTTTTGCAAAGTCACATTCAGGACTTGCTTGTCACCAAGTGACAGACCAAGACCTGCAAGTCCAGCGTTGCCTGTGGCGCTCCTTATCACTTAAAACATTGGGCAAAGCAAATTTAAGAGGAAGGCACGACTGAGGAGTCAGTCAGGACAGCAGTGAGGCTGGCTGTACACTGAAGCACACCAGGGTTTCTGCAGCGAAGACAATACAACTGCTCCCATAAAAATCCAGGAGGTGTGCTGCTGCACGCTCTGGCCAGCCGCCGCTAATGAATCATCCAGCTCCTGGATCATTCCCATGAAAGGGATGGAAAATGGACCCAATCCAGAGATCTTGGGAGTTCATTGCAATGTGATAACCCTGTTTACTACTTTAAGAGCTCCAGAAGTTCAGGAGGTGCTGGCAGAACATCTGCTTACTGCAGGATCTTGCCAGCTGCTCTGTGGAGATATCTGTGCTTCATTTGTTCGTTTGGGATGCCTCAGTGTGATGCTATATCCTAAAGAGTAAATGGGTCTGGAGAGGAGCAACCCTGCTTCACTTCCCGATGGAAACTGAAACCTCTGCTAAGCTCCCAGCAGACCCAGCTCAATTCTCAGAGGGCACAGCAGCTGGGAGCTGGGGTCATACTGCCTTTACAGTTCCCTTTTCTCGCTGATCCACTTGCAGAAACTCTGAAGCTACTGGAGAAAACATACATGTGGAAGACTCCTGATCAGACCAGGAAGCAAGAGTAAGAATCAGCTGGTGCATGTTTTTTTTTTCAAGAAGCTGTTATAGGGAGGAAGTGAATGGGGGTGAAAACCCTGGGGTTAGTCAAAAGATGATACAGGCACCCTGGGAATAGATGAATGCCTCCCTGCACAGTTTGCTTTAACAGTTTCTGCCTTAGCCACCAAAAGCTAGGTGACCACCACCACCTGTACATGTGTCCGTGTAGGTTAGGCTGGAGAAAATGCCTTTCTGGGGCCTTGGGTCTAGCTTCAGGTTCCTGCTTTCCTACAGACAACCTGCAGGACCTCTAGCTCCTCTTCTCAGGGTAAAAAGGGCTGGGGCATGGACCTGAGCCCTGTAGCTCTGACCTGGGGCCATCCTGAGGATGGTCTCATGAGCACCACGCAGGAGAGGCTGGTGCAGAAGCAGAGCTGGGAGCAGAAGGGGGGAGCTGCCTGGGTGCCTTCCCCCTGCTCCTGGCATCTGCTTGTTCCCCATGGATCACGGGGCCAGGCTGTGCCCACAAAAGGAGCAGAGCTGCAGTGGAAGAAGCCCCTGGACCAACAGGGATCCCACTGCGATGGTGGTGGAGAACAACAAGAGCTGGCTGGGCAGGGTTTGCCCCCAGCCTCGTGCCCTGTAAGCCACGAGAGCGAGGATGCTCGATAAATAAACGCTTGTCCCTTTGCCCTGTTGTCAAGGGCTGAGTTCCTGCGTGCTTCCCAGCCGCTGAGGATCTGGACTCCCGTCAGCCACATCTGCAAAGCCAACCTCACGCCTGCGGGCAGCTTTTCACTCTCGGGGAACTGCTGGCTGGAGGCAGGGCCCCCGCAGGCTCCTTGCACAAAAGGCAGGGTGATGCAGCCTGGTGCGTGTGCCCAGGGAAGGGATGCTGGAAGCCGGAGGGCTCTGCGGCCGTTTTGGGGAGCTAATGTATCATTTAAGGTCAGCCCTGGTGCCATTTGGAGTGGAGCTCGTATTTCCTAAACTGAAACAGCGAGTTCTGAATGTAATTACAGGATTAAAGGCGTGTTCTGGGGCTGAACACATGATTTATAAGCAAAGGTTACACTTTCAGTCTGTTTACAATGTGCTCTTGGCCCTGCTTAACCCTTTCTTTGCTTAAGATAAATGGTTTTCTATTTCAGCCATGTGATAATTTTCCAGATAAAAGGAAATTCAAAGGGTGTAATAACTTTATTCCTGTTCTGGTGCTTGTGCTCGATGGTGAGAGGGTGGAGCAGGGAAGAAAACACTTGTGGTCTCCAGCGGGGGTGAATCAGGGAGCTGTTGGATATGTTCATCCTACAGCAGGGGGAACTTAGTGTTTTGATTTTTTTTTCCCTTTACCTGTTAGCTTCTTAGTGTACCAGAAGGCTAGAGCTGTAACACCAGAATTAAGTCCCCAAATAGCCAAAGTTTTAGCTGATAATCACTTTCCTAGTTGAAGGTCTCCATAGCATTCCTCAGTTCTTCCCAAAGCTGTTCTCGATGGTGGTCCCTGAACAGTAAGTTTGGAAAAGAATTATGAAGATCAAGCCTGATACCTGACAGATGAGCCCTGGACAATTTTCTCTGTCAGTTCATCTGAATCCACTAGTTTTTGGTGAAGCCAAAGTTTATTGCTGACTGAGGAAATCAGAATTCTTACTCTTTGCACGTGCAATGATTAAATAAGGCACAGAGTAGGTCATGTGAATATGGACCCAATCTTGCTCCAAAGAAAGGAAAATCTGTTGCCATCCCAATGATCTTATTCCAAAAGAGGCTATAATATTCAAGATTCACATTTTATATCCAGAAAGTTGTCAAATTTTATTTCCTGCTGTTGGCTTTAGGGTTGACTCTCCCATCTTGCTGCTTAGCACAGCATTTCTGTAAGAGCTCGGTGGATTCAGAGCTACCCACAGCCTACATTGCTGCTACTTTAGATGGAGCTGCACTTGTTGAAGACCTCTGGGTTACATTTTTCCAAGCAGGAGCACAGATTAGAACCAACATTCTTTTCATCTAGTTCATAATTTGCTATTTTCAGCTGGTATGAGATACCAAAGCAACTCAAGTATTTTGCTGCAGGTCCAGGGCTATGAGTTCAGCTTTTCTTTTGCACTTATTACAGAGGTTTCCTGCCAAGGTGGGAGTAAAAAAAGTGCCTTATTGTTCTCACTGGACAGGTCAGAAGCAGTGTGTGATGTGAAATTAGGTATGTGTGGTGGGGAGTGCTCTGTGGACATAGTCCAGGCCATGAGAAGCTTATAAATTTTGTAGGCAAAGAAGGTCTGGAAAGAAATATCTACAGTTTACACGTGTAAATGGGGTTTATCGATATTCCTTGAATGGTGTATGGCCCAGACAGGAGTAGATCCCCTGATGTCAGCCATGCGTCCCCAGTTCCAGGAGACCCATCATCCAGGACAGCAGCATGTGGAGTGTGCAGAGGGACAATGAAGTGTTCTTGCAGGAAGGTCCTAAATAGGCCTGGTAGGCTGGACACCAGATGTTGTTGAGCAAAGAAAAGCTATGCCAGGCTTGCACCAAAGAAATTTTTCTTCCTTTCCTCCCTCGAAGATGAGCTTCCTCTTCTACATCACATTTCTGGAGCTGCCTCTAGCCCCAGGGAAGAAATGTCCCTACCCTTTCCCTGGCTTTCTCTGTAGTCTTTGTGGAATGAGGACAATGGGTTATTGCTAACACAATCTCACAAGAGGCAAAGAGGAGAGGAGAGATGCAGGCCTGGGAATTCATGTGACCACTGGGCCAAACTGATGTCATGCTTCAGATGTGAGAATTTGTGTGGAATCAATGCCTGGAGCAGTTTCTGGTCTGCCTAATGTGTGTTATCTTCCTTGTGTTTGTACAAAAGGAAAGGATTGATGGAGCTGGGAAGCCTTGACATTCTTATGCAAGATAAAGAATGTTATCAATGCTAAGACAGGGGTTGTATCTTGTGTTCACTTTCTCTGTTTAGATTGCTGAAGGTTTGTCTAACTACCAACCCAGAAGCTGGATCCACGTCCCAATATCCAGTTCACAAGCAGGCTTACCATACTGGGGGCATGTTTTGTGTTTGTAGGTGCCACGTTGACCCAGGTCAGGCTTGGTAGGTTCATTCAGTTGCAGTTTGAAGTTGCATCTGCCTGATCCCTGAACACCTGGCTGGGAATGCAAGAGTTTCTCAAGAATTTAGAAGTTAGCCATTCCTGGCTTAAGTTGTAGCATTGCTCAGCTGTTTTTGTTGGCTTGGCAAGACTCCAACCATCTAGCCACCCATCTATTTTGTTACTATAGCACCAGTGCCACTGGAAACCTAGAGCACCAGGTTACAATCAGGAAGACCTGGACTTCCAGGGAATGATGGAGCAGAGGAGACGAGAAACCCTATCATTTGTGTGCCAGGGTAATGTTGTCATTACCACAAGTTTGAAACCCAGGCTCAACCCCTTGGCTGCTAATAACCAGCTGAACAACGATAGCTGGTTGCACGTGGAAGTGGGTTTTAACAGGGCCACATGCATGGTCATATTATCTGTGGACAAAGAAGGAAAGGCAAATTGGAAAAAAAGGAAAAGCTGTTCTCCCAAAGATGGTGACTATGCAAAAGACAGGGTTTACAGTGAGTGTCCAGCTGAATACACATTCTTGGTACAATGATGTGGTTAGAAGAGCTGACACAATCCTTTGAGTTACAGAGGCATGAAGGAACTCTACTGGTATTATACCGAATAAAACTGAAGTGAACAGAATGCTCTGCTTGCAAACTTGAAGTCAGGAGATCAGAAATGCCTGGAGACAGGTTTCCTGTGCAACCTTTATTTGGACAACGTGTAAGCATTTTTTTTTTTTTTGCTGTGAGGTCCCTGAATGACTTGGTGCACAGTGGACATTACTCACCTCCCCTTAAGCTCAACTGCAGGTTGAGTGCTCAGCGTTGCCCTAACCCAGAGCTTGAAGGTTTCCAATGGGTTGCCAGGAACCAAAGAACACAGGCTGGCTGCTGGTGAAAACTTTTAGATGGATTTGCCCAGCTTGATGCCCAGGGTAGCACTCATTTCAACCTCTGATTGCACCTCTCTTACTTGATGACACTGACGTCCTGATGATGTGCCAGGCTGGTACGTTCCTTTTCTGAACCTGCAGACAAAATAGGATGTCTGCATTTTTACTTTTTATTGGTATGGAAAGAATCTTTGTACAGGATAAAGAAACCAGACTCCTGGGCTTCTTGCATCCAAGGGAAGCTGACTACAAGAAGGTGGAAGCAATGGCAGCCTTCCTTGGGCTATGCCAGAATAGCAGTGTGGGGCCTTTCTGTGCTATGGCGATGAGCCCCTACACCCCTTCAGTCCTTCTGGCAGGGATGTTTTGGAAGCCTATCATGCCTGCTGGAGCCTGGTATGCTGGGGAGCTTGCAGGCCCTTGGGTGGGGTGATTGCAGGAGGGGGAGGATTGTTCCTGTGGCTCAGCCACTAGTCTGGGTCTCGGGAGCCGTGGGTTTATTTCCTGGCTCTACTGCTGGCTCCCAGCAGGCAAGGCTTGGAGAGGTACTCTCTCTAGCTCTGTTCCCCAACTGTTCATTGCACGCTATCATGTTATTTTAAAACCCCAACCCAGCTGCAATAAAATGCCTCATATTACGTGACAGCCCACAGCTTCATTTGTGTCTTCAATGGGTAATTTGCAAGGGGACGTAGGCCCCAACCAAAACCCTGAAGCCCCCGGTCCCCTGACATTGGAGTCTGAATCCTGCAGCTTTTGTGCAATTGCAAATGAGGTGCTGCAGTGGTTGAGTCAGCGATCTCTGATAATGCTTTTGTGGTGAAACTTCCCTCTGTGCCCAGAGTCTGCATAAAGCCTGCTCAGTACTTAACCCTCGCTTCATGCCACAAAGTATAGCTTGTTGGACTTGAAATGGAGATCAGACCCGGATGGGATGGGATGTGCAAGGTCTGGGCTGGTGAGGTGGGGTTCTCTGTTAAAGGCTGGGGGAGACAGGCTCCTGGGGATCCTTCCTGTCCTGAA